TATTAATAACCCCAAATAAAGGTGACCCCCCGAATTAAGAGAATTAGGGGGTAAGTGCCGGGAGCCAGTCCATCCTTGCTGTTTCAAGGGACCTGGCGTATATGGCATACTGTTCTTAATATGTTTGCTCCCCTTCTTGGCGCTATGTGTTTTAACCAAAGTCACCTCTCCGAGAAAGGTTGTTTCCCCAGGTAGGAATTTTTCCCTGAGGTTAGGGAGGGGATACAACCCCTTAATTAAGTGCCAGGCGGGTAGTTAAGCTACATAATCTTTACTCCCTGGAATGGAGATAAGAAACGCCCTAACCTTTGTAATAGAAATTGACAGGATTAAAATCGGCTGGTATAAATACGGATGTAACAAGACAACAAACATCAGAACCTCATCAGATCCTAACCAGAACCTAGCCAGAGAACATGGCAAAAGATCCTGGACAGAACCTGGCTACAGAACTTCACTGGAGAGCCTAGAAGAACATGGCAAAAGAACCTGGATAGAACCTGGCTAAAGAACCTAGAGACAGGACTTGGCTGGAGATCCTAGACAGAACCTAGAGACAGGACTTGGCTGGAGATCCTAGACAGAACCTAGACACAGAACCTAGAAACAAAACCTAGCGACAGAACCTAGAGACAGGACTTGGCTGGAGAATCTACACAGAACCTAGAGACAGAACCTAGGGAGAGAACATGGCACCAGAACCTGGCTGGAGATCCTAACCAGAACTTCACTAGAGATCCTGACTAGAACATGGCAACAGATCCGGGCTAGATCCTGGCTGGAGAACCTCGCTATGCTGATGAACTGAACCCTGTCTTCATGTCATTCCTTCTTCGCCGACTTCGTCCACACCTTTGGGGACCCCTGGACCCGCTGGGGTTGGACCCCAACATCTAGCGCCCGAACAGGGACCCTTAGGTAAGCCCCCCATTCTCCTAGGTAAGCCCCGCACTCGGGACGGATAGGACTCCACCAGGGTGCTACAGACCCCCCTATAGAGGATAAGTAGGGTAAGAAGGTGGATAGTACAGAACTTAGATTGAGAAGATGTGCCATACTGAGTCCAAAGAAAGAAGACTCTGTATTGATCCTTAGATTGAGAAGATGTGCCATACTGAGTCCAAGAAAGAAGACTCTGTATTGATCTTTAGATTAAGAAGATGTGCCATACTGAGTCTAAAGAAAAAAGACTCTGTATTGATCTTTTAACACATATGCTTGCTAGCAGAGGAGTTAAGGTTACTCCCAGTCAGATGGAATGTTTTATACAAGAAGTATGTCCATGCTTTTCTGAGGAAGGAAAGGTGCCGGAAAGGTAAATGTAGAGGCATGGGAGAAGATAGGCCCAAGGAGCCTTATCCTTAACCCCACTGCAGCCTTTCCACCCTGGAAAAGTGCAGGATTAGCAAGCTCTCCCTGGGGTGATAGATCAGGACTCAGGTAATAGCAGAAAGCGCCAATCCTACTCTTAAAATGGATGTAACAAGACAATAAACATCACATCCTCATCAGATCCTCAGCAGATCCTCATCAGATCCTAACCAGAACCTAGCCAGAGAACATGGCAAAAGATCCTGGACAGAACCTGGCTACAGAACTTCACTGGAGAACCTAGACAGAACATGGCAAAAGAACCTGGATAGAACCTGGCTAAAGAACCTGGTGACTGAACCTGGCTGGAGAACATGGAGAACCTGGCTGGAGAACCTAGCGAGAGAACATGGCACCAGAACTTGGTTGGAGATCCTGACCAGAACTTCGCTGGAGATCCTAGCCAGAACTTTGCTGGAGATCCTGGAGGGAGAACCTCGCTATGCTGATGAACTGAACCCAGTTTCCATGTCATTCATTCTTCGCCGACTCCGTCCACACCTTTGGGGATCCCTGGACCCGTTGGGGTTGGACCCCAACAGGTAAGGAGGAAAGAAGAGAAAAAGATAAAAGGGAAAAAACAAAAGAAAAATGAGAAAGAAAAAAAAAGGAGTGCAAAAATGAAATTGGGGAAAAAAAAGAGGGGGGAATAAAAGAAAAAGAAAAAAAAGAGAGAATGAAGTAGAAGAGGGGAAGAGACTATTTGTATGAGGAGAAAACTCCTATAGAACTGCCACTAATCCCAACAAATTCCAGCAACAGATCCCTGGAGATGAATGCAAACTACAACCAACCAATGATATCAAGAGAGGCAAGGGAAAACAGAAGCACAAAAATAGCTGGGGGGTGGGGGAGGGGAGGGAGGGGAAAAACCAGCAGATAAGAAGAAAAAGAAAAAGTAAAACAACCTCACAACCAGTCCTAAAAAAGGAAAAAAAAGAAAAACACAAAACGAGCAAAAAAAAAAACAAAAAAAACAAACAAACAAAAAACCACAGACAAACAAACAAACAAAAAATATATTCAACAATCAAGCAAACAGCAAGAAAACAATAGAAAGATAAGAGAAAAAAATGTTAGGATAGTGAAGAAGGATAAGGGATAGCTGTAAAAGGATTTAGAGCAGTGGATTGGAAATAGGATATATAAGAAGGTTGAAATTGGACAGGGGGTAAAAAGACGGAATAGGGAAAATCTAGAGCAGGAATAGGGTAAGAGAAACAGGACACCAAAAGGGGAAAAGTGAGGAAGAGGGTTTTAGCATAGAGGTAAAATTGAGGTAGGGAAAATTGATGCTAAAGGAACGATGAAAATAGAATGGAGAACACTACTCCCAAAATAAAAAAAGAGAAAATAAAATGGCACTTTAAAAAGTGGTAAAATGGTAGCAGTAATAATACTGGTTAAAAATAAAAATGTAGTAATTAAAAGGGTAAAATCAGGTGATGGAAAAAGAAGAAAAAGAAAAAAAATTGGTTTCTTAGTTGAAAGGCGAAAAAAGAAAAAAAATTTGCAGTAGTGAAGGTCTTTCGGTTCTTCTACTCTTCAGCTTGGCTCGCCTTAGTCCTGCCAGGTATTCAGGAGAGTGTTGAGTTTCCCTGCGATACACTGTTCCTCCAGATCTGCTTTCTGATGTAGCTAAACTTTTTCTGGCCTAGTGAAGCACCCCAACTTCTCTTTCAGGTCATTGTCAGCAACACAGCAGTAAATATTAACACAAAGCAGATTATTATTGTAGGGAGAACAAAGGGTAAAATATTTAACTGCAGCAGTGTTTGACTATATTCTGCACAGTGAGAAAACCTGAAGTCATTTTCAAGTTCCACCATTTCTTCTTTTCAGTTAGGTCAAGTTTCTAAACTTTCTAAATCTCTGTTTTCCGGCTAATGAAAATAAGATTCCACCGAGTATCCTACTCCAGGACTTCTGTGAGGATCAAATGAGATGAGGCACGGGAAAACACTTCACAGACATTTGGTTAAAGTGTGAAATGTTTGCAGCTGGCTATAAAGCAAGTCGTGTTCCTGGGCTGAAGAAACTCAAAGGAGGCTAGTTGTTGCTAGGGAGAGGAAGCCGGGCGTTGCTACGTGATGTCATTACCCGGCACCCACAGCGACCATTTCTGGTCCGGGCTGGGCTGTGGGCCGCATTTGGTACCATGGGGTCTCAGCAGCGTTGGCTACAATTTGATGGGCTGTCACTCTAGGGTGGTGGCAGGGCCTGTGTCCCACTTGGGCGGAGCCAAGTGTTGCTTTGTGGGCACCAGGTCCGCGGTGCCGTTTCTTTTTAAATGGCCAGTCCGAGTCATGGCAGCTCCTGCGTTGAGGTAGATATAAAAGGCTAAGTGATCGTCTGACCGGTAGCTATGATGCGCACTGACCACCAGGGGGCAGGAGCTGCTGAGCTGCGGTGTCTTATTCTCTGGTGACGCACTCCGGAACCAGAGAGGAGGAAGCCCAATTCCAGGGTGCATCACCCGAGAACTGTCCTCTCGCACTCCAGGACCCCTAGGGGGATGTTGGAGAGCTGGTTTTGCCCGATCCCCGCAGACCAGGCCGAGGGACCCCGCTCACTCTGCAGACACTGAGCCATGGCGCCACCCCAGGTGTGTCCGGCCTATCTCGCCTAGTCCCGCCCTGCCAGCCACCTTCTAATTAATTTCCCTTCAATGTGCATGAATCTGTGCACCAGGGCACTACTCTTGAAATAAAAGACCATTGTGCTTGCATATGCCCTCTCTCATGTGCACCTTTATGTGCATGAACATGTGTGTTTGAGAAAAAACCAGCTGAGTTGGTCTCACTGCCTCAGTGCTTGATCTCTTAGTTGATTCTTGGACAAGGATCAAACCTGCAACCTTGGTGTATCAGGATGACATTCTAACCAAGTGAGCTATTGGGCCAGGGCTACTTTACAAATCACTTTGGAACAATTAGGTTCCAAAGATTACTGTTCTTCCTTCTCATTTCCCAAACTTTGTACAATATGTAATTTTTTAAAAAAATATATTTTATTGATTTTTTACAGAGAGGAAGGGAGAAGGATAGAGAGTTAGAAACATCGATGAGAGAGAAACATCGATCAGCTGCCTCCTGCACACTCCCCACTGGGGATGTGCCCACAACCAAGGTACATGCCTTTGACCGGAATCGAACCCGGGACCCTTGAGTCCGAAGGCCGATGCTCTATCCACTGAGCCAAACCGGTTAGGGCTGTAATTTTTTTTAAAAAAAGAAGAATATAATACCTGGCCGGCGTGGCTCGGTGGTTGAGCATCAACCTATGAACCAGGAGGTCATGGTTCGATTCCCATCAGGGTACATGCCTGGGTTGCAGGCTCATCCCCAGTGTGGGGCATGTAGGAGGCAGCCAACCAATGATTCTCATCATTGATGTTTCTCTCTCCCCTTTCCTCTCTGAAATCAATAAAAATATATTTTTTTTAAAAAGAGGAAGATAACGATAGAGGGAAATAAATAAGTTATTAAATTGTAAACTAAATGATTGTTTTTGAAAATTAGGAGCTGGAGAAAGGCCTAGCTGCTCCTCATAAAACTGTTTAAAGGAGAAAGCCCTAGAAGCTGTCGTTTTAAAATTTTCACTTCTGCTGATGCCTTTTCTTTCTCTAGCAAGCGGCTGGATTATGTGAATCATGCCAGAAGACTGGCTGAAGATGACTGGACAGGGATGGAGAGTGAGGAAGAAGATAAGAAATATGATGAAGAAATGGACATTGACACTGGCAAGAAGTTACCAAAACGCTATGCTAATCAAGTGAGTATTCCAGAGATTAGGCCCAGCTAGTCCCACTCCCTTTACTATGCATTCAGCCCCCACTGAAATAAATGTTGCCATAAAGAGAGGAGGAGGCAGGAAAAAGGAATGGAAACTGCAAAGAAAATGCTGATGTTCAGGAAGTTTACAGATGCAGAGAAGACATGAAGAGTGCCCTGTGCCGACCAGGGCTCACTGATGGGTACTGTGAATAGTGAGTTTGGAAACCCTTACCCCTGGCTCACTACTGATATACTAATGGACTCCAGGCACTTGTCACTTATTTAATAGTCATTGCATAGCTGTTCTGGATCGGACCTGTCCAGCCCAGCACTGCCCCACCACACCTCCCAGATTGGTAATCTTTCCCAAGCAGAGGACTAAGATGGCAGTGTTGGATCTTTACATTCAGGTGGTAGGAAATGGGAAGTGTAGCTGCCCTTGAATATAAGGAGCCTGCATAGCCACCCAGGCCACCCAGTTGGGCCATGTGGGGCTGAGACCATGAAATAACAGATCACTATACAAACTTAACTAATTGCCCTGTTGGTTCCACAGAGGAAACCAATGTGGCTTGTGGGACCATAGGGGAAGCAGGCATGGAAACTGTCCAGTGCTCTAGGCAGTCCAGGTATTCCAGAAGGCAGGATATGGGTCCTAGAGTGGGTCCTACCCTGCTATTGTATCCTTTCCATAGTCTATGTGTCTTGTCACCTCAAAATCTTCTCCCACCTTTAGAATATGATTCCTGGGTTCACATACTCCCATCTTTCTTCTTTGCCCCAAATACAGCCCAGATAACATCCTCTATGACAGTTCTGTTCAGTAAGCATTGTTGAAGGCCCTGTGTTATGCTAGGCAATGCTGTGGGAAGGTAGACATGGGTCAGAAATAACCCTTATACTCCTGGAATAACTAGAATATGTTTTTTTGCTGTAAGAAAGTGAGATTAAGTTCTAACAGGCAAGGAGGCAGGGTTGTGAAATTGAGAAAAAGTTAGTAAACAAGGAGCCAGCTTTGAAACATGGATAGGACATTGATAGGCAGAGGTGCAGGGCATCCCAGGTAGCAGGAACAGGCTAAGCAAGAGCCCAGAGGTGGGAGAGGGGTATATGGTGTGTTCAGGAGTGATGAGAATGGGGCAGCATAGGGTGAGAGGAAGGAATATGGTAGAAATATGTGCAGGGGTATTGATTGTGTTTTAGATTGTGGGAACCACTGAAAATTTTTGACCCAGAGACAAAGCTGGAACTTCATGTGAAGACACCCTCATAAATGTGTCAAAGGGTCTGGAAGAGAAAGACTAGGGTAGGGAGCTTAGGTTTGCTAAAACAGTCTGATGATAGGCAATGAAGATGGGAAGGAAATGAGGTCATGAGTATGAGAAATGTCAAAATGTTGCCAGGAAGAATGGACAGAATTTAGCAGTAGATTGGATAGAAGAGGCACTATGAGAAGTGATTAAGGGTTTAAACTCTGAGGTCACATAGACCTGACCTCAAAGCCAGGCTCTTTGTTGACCTTGAGCAAGTTACTTAACCACTCTAAGTCTCTCAGGTTTCTTATCTGTAAAATGGGGGATAGTAATAGTATCTATCTCATAGAATTGTTAGGAGGATTAAATGAGGTAGTGTACCTTAAATACCTAGCCCAGAGCCTGTAATAAATGCCCCATGAGTATTAGCTGCTACAACTGTTTTTTTGTTTTTTTAAAAATATATTTTATTGATTTTTTTACAGAGAGGAAGGGAGAGGGATAGAGAGTTAGAAACATCGATGAGAGAGAAACATCGATCAGCTGCCTCCTGCACACCCCCTACTGGGGATGTGCCCACAACCAAGGTACATGTCCTTGACCGGAATCAAACCCGGGACCCTTTAGTCCGCAGGCTGAAGCTCTATCCACTGAGCCAAACCGGTTAGGGCTACAACTGTTTTAAATAGCTACATTTATAATAAAAGCCTAAGAGACCATTAAGGCGGAACGACCAGAACAACCAGTCACTATGATGCGCACTGACCACCAGGGGGCAGACGCTTAATGCAGGAGCTGCCCCCTGGTGGTCAGTGCGCTCCTACAGGGGGAGCACTGCTCAGCCAGAAGCCGGGTTCACAGCTGGCGAGCACAGCGGCAGTGGCGGGAGCCTCTCCCACCTCCATGGCAGCACTAAGGAGAAGCGAGCCAAGCGGTAAGGAGCAGCGGGCGTAAGGAGCAGCGGGCGGTAAGGAGTTAGGGGTCCTGTGAGAGGGCACACCCCCGCGCTGAGGGAAATATGCCCCCCCCCCCCCCCCCCCAGTGCACGAAGTTCATGCACCAGGCCTCTAGTTGAGATATAATTCACCTACCATGTAATTCACAGATTTATAGTGTACAATTCAGTGTTTATTAGTGTATTCATAGGGATGTTCAACCATCACCATTCCAGACCATCTTCATCATCCCCAAAGAAACCTCATCCCCATTAGCAGTCCATCTCCATTCCTCCTTTTCCCCAGCACTAGCAATCACCTATATTTCCTTTCTGTTTCTATGGATTTGCCTATTCTGGACATTTCATATAATTGGAATCATACAAGATGTGTCCTTTTGTGTGTGAGTTCTTTCACTCAGCATGATGTTTTCAAAGTTCATCTATGTTGTAGCATGTGTTCATTTTTGTGAACATATTTTCTTTATTCATTCATCAGTTGATGGCCATTTAAGTTATTTCCACTTTTTGGCCATCATGACCTGCTCTAAACATTCATTTACAAGTTTTTGCATGGTCATGTTTTCATTTCTCTTGGATATATACCTGGGAGTGGAATTACTAGGTAATTCTATGTTTAATCTTTTGCGTACTGCCAAACTATTTTTCTAAGTGACTGCACCATTTTATATTTTCACCAATGGCATATAAGAGTTCCAATTTCTTCACATGTTTGTCAATACCTTGTCATATATGTGTGTGTGTGTGTGTGTGTGTGTTTGTGTGTGTGTGTTTTATTTCAGAGAGGAAGGGAGAGGGAGAGAGACAGAAACATCAATGATGAGAGAAAATCATCTATTGGGTGCCTCCTGCATGCCCCCTACTGGGGATCAAGCCTGCAACCAGGCATGTACCCTGACTAGAAATTGAACTGTGTCCTCCTGGTTCATGGGTCAACACTCAACCACTGAGCCACACCGGCCAGGCTACTCTTGCTTCTAAGAGGCTTTATTTAGACCTTTCTCCACCTAATGGTGTATTTAACTTCATGTTTAGGTGGCGTTCCAAATCAGCACTTTTATTATGCCACAGCACTGGAGATGTTCAAGCTCTAGACACTTTTTCGTCTTTTTTTTTTCCCCAGAGGAAGAAAATTTTTATTTTGGGCTATAAATTACAGTAATCTCTTTTTCCGGTTTTTGGTTGGATTACCTTTGAGCCTTTTGCTTTCTGCAGGATCTATAACAAGTCAGGTGATAGGTGATTTCATCTGCCAAGTCCTTGCTTTTAATAGCATCCTCAAATGAGGCTTTCCATAAAGTGATAAGAGTACACGGAAAGGACTGGAAAGGAAAGGAAGGCATTCATCATAGTAGGAATTAATCCATTCATCTAAAGTAGGAATTAATTTTTAAAATAAATGCTCTATTTTATAAATAACACTTACTACATTGTGGTTTTTTTAAAATAATTTTTATTTTATTTTATTTATTTATTTTTATTTTTTTGGTTAATCCTCACCCAAGGATATTCTTCCATTGATTTTTAGGGAGAGTAGAAGTGAAAGGGAAAGACAAAGAGATACATTGATGTGTGAGAAACACATCGATTGGTTGCCTCCTGGCCGGGGAGGAGGCATGTACCCTGACTGGAAATTGAACTGTGTCCTCCTGGTTCATGGGTCAACACTCAACCACTGAGCCACACCAGCCAGGCTACTCTTGCTTCTAAGAGGAATCGAACCCTGGACCCTTTGGTCCACAGGCTGACGTTCTATCCACTGAGCCAAACCAGCTAGGGCTAAAATAATTCTTTATTGTTGAAAGTATTACATGTGTCCCTTTTTTCCTCCATTGACCCCCTACCGCCACCCCAGGCCTTCAGCACCCTATTGTCTGTGTCCATGGGTTATGCATATATGCATACCAGATCTTTGGTTGATTACCTCCCACCCACCCACTCTCCCCCACCTTCCCTCTGAGATTCCGCACTCTGTTTCATGCTTCCATGTCTCTGGATCTACTCTGTTCCTTCGGTTTATTCTGTTACTTAGATTC